CCCGTGGCAGGGGTTGGAACTGGATGAGCATTAAGGTCCCTTCAACCCAACCAGTCTGGGATTCACTAAATGATCATTCACATTGATCTTCACCTCCCTGTGACAACAGATGAAGGGGAACAAGGACCCTCAGATGTCACTCTCCATCATGCACTGGATAAACCCAACAGACATTAAACAGTGAGCTGCTAACACAGCTCATGTGGCTTTGCCTGAAGAAGTGCTTTAAACTGAATGCATCGGACCCATGAAGTGAGTTTCTGGGGGGAACCTGTTACACTTCCACCAGAAAAGGAGAAAACAGCCAACCTGATGCATCACCAGCTCAGAGAAACACAAACGAGAACAAGGCACCGGCTAAGAAGAAGTCCCCACATTTGAGTTTCCTACAGAAAACCCAAGCAGCTGCCACTGTGCAAACAACACATTCCACCTGACGGGGGAAAAGGATTTTCCCCAAGGAAGCCACACTTCCTTGGGCAGCACATGCTAACCAGACATGCCCCTGATAGCATGAGCTTCACCAATACTTTACATGGATAAAGTGCAAATCAGAGCTCTGGTGAAAGGATGATGGCCAAGAAACTCATCAGGAATGATGGATGGGCAGGTCCACCATAAGCATCTGTGGTGTGATGGCATCTAGCTTCACCATCAGGGATGAGGCAGGTCGTGCTGGGTGAGGTCCCTAGGAGGGATGTGATGCTGGCAAACACCGGAGCCCCTTCTTAGCCATGATTTATTCCAGCACATCTCCTCATGCCTTTGTGCAGGAGCCTCGTTGTTTAAACTCCCTGCATCTCACTGCTTAACAGTTCCCACGGGGGAACAATTTACCCACAGGCTTCAAGGCAGCTGATGGAAACAATCTGAAGATAGGTATTTAATGCAGCACGCTCGCTAATGCACGCCATGGGGGACAAGCTTAGTTAATACAAACCCATTTCACAGATGCAGCAGTTAGAAGGGACCGGGCTGATGCGTTTGCCTTTGCTCTGACACCTTGCAAGGGCTGGAGGACACCAGCACCAAACCCTACCTTAGGTATGGTTCTTATAAAGACAGTTTAATCCCCAATAAGTCATGTTTTGTGTCTGCAAAGCAAATCTCAAGGCATCTGCTCCTTGGGGTCATCTATGGATCATAGATCACAGAATCATAGCATCATTTAGGTTGGAAAAGCCCTTGAAGATCATCAAGTCCAACCACTAACCCAGCAGTGCCAAGGCCACCACTAAACCATGGTGGTCTAATGACCACTAAACCATGTCCCCAAGTGGAATATCTACATGTTTGTTAAATAATGCAGGTGGTTGTTGGAATTCCCTGGTCCAGGCTCTCAATCACACCAGATCTCAGCCCGTGGTTGGCATCCAAGTATTCCAACAGCAGTCCGATGTTCAATGTGCATTAGCACCCAATGAGCTCCTTGGGCCAAGTATTATTTCATGTTATTTCAGATTAGTTCCTATTAGTTCCTATTAATTCATATTATTCCGTCTGAATTCATATTCTTTGGGTATTATTTCAGGAGCCAAGAGTGGGTGCAGCAAGGACAGTGGCTTGGCAGGGAAATAACCACCCAGAACCCATGCCCCAAGTTGAGATGCTGTCACAAGGACCTCCATGCGAGGAAGTATTAGGAACCAAAGAGGAGCTTTTACCGTAGCTCAGCTCATCAAAACATCTTTGGAAACCCCTCAGGCACACCTGCAAGAAGCCCCATTTCCCCCTCTCTTCCCACTTCTCTCTTCAAGCTTCCTCCAGTGCAGGTGACCAGCCCAGAGGGACCAGCCTTACCCAGCATGACCATGGGGTCAGGGAGCCCCAGGCAAGGCAGCAAGTTGACTTCTGTGGTGGGCATCACTTGATGGCTCTAGCTAAGACACACATGGTGTTGTGTTTAGAGATGACTGGGGCCACAGAGCTATTTGGAGCTGTATCTTTTGAAGCTTTGATCTTAAGGTCCTTTCCAACCCTAACCATTCTATGATTCAAAGGTATTTCACAACTGCTTCACCAAGCTGAACTTGCAGGTCCCTCCGTTCCCTTTAGGAAGCTGTGGGTCCACAAGCACATACAAGGAGGAGAAACTGGGTGGAAAATCTCCCCAACAAACAAGAGAGGAAATGGTGAGATGCTGGAGATCCAGGTCATAGCTCTGCTACCAGCTCCCTCCTGGAAATGATCAGTATTAGGGGTAACAGAAACTGAAACAGGGGAAGTTCAGGTTGGAGATAAGGCAGAAGCTCTTCCCTGTGAGGGTGCTGAGGCGCTGGCACAGGGTGCCCAGAGAAGCTGTGGCTGCCCCATCCCTGGCAGTGTTCAAGGCCAGGTTGGACACAGGGGCTTGGAGCACCCTGCTCCAGTGGAAGGGGTCCCTGCCTGTGGCAGGGGGTTGGAACCTTTATCCTCTACAGCCTCCATTCCTGAAAAAGGGACTTGGGAATGCAAAGTTAAAACTTTCTCACTTGATTCTAAGCTCCTTATGAAGCCCGAGCGGGTTGGTCCCAGCACCATCTGCACAAAGAGCTCACACAGTTGGGAGTTAGAGCCCATGGGATGGGTCAAAGGCCAGCTCAACTTGGCCTCAGCACCCTGCAAGACATTCTAGAAAGTACTTAGGAGGCGACACTGCAACGACTCATCATAAATTATGGATAATAATGGACATTTTTGATGAAGGTCTGATAGAAACCACAAATGGTGTTGCTTTGGGGGAGCACAAAGAGGAAAACGTGACCGGGAGAAGGAGCACCTGTACTTATTACTGCCCTGAGTTTATCCACTAAGGATGCTATTCCAGTATCACATACCTTTGCTGTCCATGAATTTGTGGTTCAAACCCCATGCAGACAGCTCTCCCCATTCCTTGGATGGGAAAAAGCAGAACAAGAGGAGATTTACTCCCACCCTCAATTATTCATAAGGAAAGGGAGGGCGCATCTTTAACAAGCCATCGTTTTATGAAGCCAGGTTCACATTTTCACTTGATTCAGTAGAATCTGATCAACTCTCCGGGGTCCATTTGAGGACTTTCTACTTGGAGGCAAAAGGCACCGACTCAGCACTTTCCTTATGTTATTTAGAGAATAAAATTAACCCTTAATGGCCCACACTGGGATTTCTTCTCCCCCCAGTTAAATATGGCCCGCTCAGCAATTTCTCCCCATCTATAATTACAGGCTGCTATCCATCATGTGGAGGAGAATGCTTCCCTGACACTCCAAAAGTGACACTGTAAGCACTTTCCCTAATAGAATAAATATTCTAAATATCTCTTTGATATTTTCATTTAAATTGGAATAGTTGAGGAAATAATTGGAGGGATCCTGCCTGCGTGGTTGGGGCTGTGCTGGAGGGAGGTGGTGCTGCCTGTGTTTTCCTTTGCAGGAAGTGTTTTCTCCTGCACACAGTCTCCTCCACACACTGCCACAGAAAGTAATTAGGCACAGGCTAATGTCTTAGTGTTTCCCACCACAGCTACTTTGCTTAAAGCTCTCGCTTTGGGATTTTATACCTTCCTTTCACCTGGTTTTTGTACTTTAGTGGGTTCTCCTTGGGAAAGATTCATGGAATTGAGCTGGAAGGGACCTTAAAGCTCATCCAGCTCCAACCCCTGCCACGGGCAGGGACCCCTTCCACCAGAGCAGGGTGCTCCAAGCCCCTGTGTCCAACCTGGCCTTGAGCACTGCAGGGATGGGGCAGCCACAGCTTCTCTGGGCACCCTGTGCCAGCGCCTCAGCACCCTCACAGGGAAGAGCTTCTGCCTAAGAGCTCAGCTCAGTCTCCCCTCGGGCAGGTTCAAGCCATTCCCCTTGGCCTGTCCCTACAGGCCCTTGTCCCAAGCCCCTCTCCAAGTTTCCTGCAGCCCCTTTAGGCACTGGAGCTGCTCTAAGATCTCCCCTTCAGGAGCCTTCTCTTCTCCAGGCTGCCCCAGCCCAGCTCTCTCAGCCTGGCTCTGGAACAGAGCTGCTCCAGCCCTCGCAGCATCTCTGTGGCCCTTGCAAGGATGGGTTTGCTTTCAAAAGGCACCATCCACCATTGCATTTGGTTTCTAGGACAGGCTGGTGACTGCCTGATGACACCACAGTGATGGGTGCTGAACACCCACAGCTTCATTTGCTGGGTTGAACCTCTGTAGACAAGAGCTACAGGGATGAAGAAAAGGAGAAGAGTCCTTCAGGCTCCAGCCCAGAGCAGCTCATAGATCCATGCATCCAAATGCTCATCCCATCAAACTTCCCTGGTAAAAAGCAGCTGAAATCACAGGGGAGCTAGAAACCTCCATGAGCAGCAAGTCTAAGCAAAACCATGCCCTGCTCCAGGAAAGCTGCTCTCTTTCAAGCTCTGTGTGTCATGCAGAGGACCATAAGCTGACAGACAAGGCTGCAAGTCTACCCAGTGTGCACATTAAGTCCATGCAGGACTTCAAAGCACTGATGTAAACCAGAGGGCCCTCAGGACCTGGAGGACCATAAAGCCACCAGGCAGATAACTAGGCAGAGACTGAGGTTCAGTTGCTGGAGGCTCGGTGAGGAGGGGTGATCTTGCTGCTAAGACTGAGCCACAAGATCTAAGGCTCAAGCTTTAATCTATCACAGAGCCAGAGTGCAGAACAAGCATTAATATCCATGGGTTTAGGATGTAAAACAGGGATTCCAAAGCCTTTTCCTTCCCTTCTCATCTGTTCAACTGAACAGTTCCCAGGACAGGGGCTATCGGCTCAGGCACCGGTAACATGGACAACCCCAGGGAGGCTCTTCCCAAGGAAACACCAGCACAACGTTTGCAAGCTGCAGCCTCTGATTTGTTTCCTTCTTTTTCTCCCTGCCCATAACCCTTTGGGAAGGCACAGGACTGCTGTTCATCACATCCAGGTATTCAGCAGCTTCCAGTTCTATGGCTCCCTTCGGTGCTGTAGCTCATACAGAAAACAGGTTGTGGCTTCAGCACAGGAGCATCCATCCCAGAACCCCAAGAGCTGGCTCCCTCCTTACCTTTTCTCCCATGGGACAATAGCCTTTGAGGAAATCCTGGCACACTTCTGCCTTCCTGGACACGTAGACGTGGCTGTAGGGGCAGTTGCTGTTGCTGCAGATCCCCTTCAAGAAGTAGGAGCACACCGGCATCTGCGAGGGCAGAGGATGAGAAACCCCATCAGAGCTCCCCCCAGTTCATGATTAGGAACCATTCCAACGCCCAGAACTGGAATACAACAGTGCCATGTGTAAAACAAATACATGCTTTTTGCCATGCATTGATCCCAGAGGAATTTTTAGCTCTTATATTGGTCTCTATGCAACACAGCCCCCTGACATTACATGGCCCCAGTGTATATATACAAAGGGGGTGAACACGCTCACCTTAGCATCCTTCAGGATGTTGGGGACAGGGTAAAACACATGAAACTGGCACCAGAAAGAAAACTGCCTCTGCACAGCACAAGGAAACGATGGGGGAATGGTAATAAGCCCTGTTATCACAACGATGCATGGAGCAGGTTCATCTGCTGCTGATACTCTCTCAAGTAACCTTGAAGAGGAGGAGTGACTGCTGCCAGGGCTCCTTGCTGGCAAAAGGCATTAAACCAAGCTCACTGTTGCATGGCTGAGGATGGAGAACACCCTTCCCAAGGAATGAGGCAGTGGCTGTGATAGGAACAGCAGTGCAGAGCTCACACCAGCTTGACTGCAGTCTCCCACAGCAGGTTAATAATAGAATCATGGAATGGTTGGGTTGGAAAGGACCTTAGGATCACTCAGTTCCAACCCCCTGCCATGGGCAGGGACCCCTTCCACTAGAGCAGGGTGCTCCAAGCCTCTGTGTCCAACCTGGCCTTGAACACTGCCAGGGATGGGGCAGCCACAGCTTCTCTGGGCACCCTGTGCCAGCGCCTCAGCTCCCTCACAGTAAAGAACTTCTGCCTTATCTCCAACCTGAACTCCTCCTGTTTCAGTCTGAACCCATCACCCCTTGTCCTATCACTGCAGTCCCTGATGAAGAGTCCCTCTCCAGCATCCTTGTAGCCCCCTTCAGACACTGGAAGCTGCTCTGAGGTCTCCACGCAGCTTCTCTTCTCCAGGCTGAACAGCCCCAGTGTTCTCAGCCTGGCTCCATACAGGAAGTGCTCCAGCCCCTGAGCATCCTCGTGGCCTCCTCTGTACTTGCTCCAACAGCTCCATATCCTTCTTGTGTTGAGGACATCAACCTGCAGCTGTGCCTAGGATTGCCCCAGCCCAGGCACAGGATTAAACTTGTTCTGGCCAATGCAAAGGCCAAACCAGCATCCTGGGGGTGCCCCGTCTATTTGGCAATTCCACGGATACGGACCTGCTGCAGGGTGCAGAGCATGTGGTTAGAGAAAGGCTCCCAAAGGTGGGTCCTAGGAAGGGGGAAGTGTTTCCACCTCTACAAGTGTTTCAGGGGGGGCTGCCTTGCACCAAGTGCTGCGAGCGATGTGACGATGCCTGTCCCTGTGTGCTGCAGAGGGGATGCTGCAGGAGGGATGCTCCAGGAGGGAAGGAAAGGAGGAGGAGACCCTGGCATCCTGCTGCAAGCAGCCAAGGAAGAGAGTGGTTAGACTGACAGAGCAAAGCCCTCCTGAAGCTTTAGCACCGCAACAGCCGACGTGGATAACAAAAGCAACCGAGGAAGGATCCTCCTCGTCCTCCAAGCACAAACTTCACCTTCCGCCAGCTGTTACAATTAAAAACAGATTACCAGCCTGCTGTGACATCCCTGCATCTTTACCTCACCGGCTACCACAGACAACTTCCCAACCTGACAAGGCAGCTGCCGACGGGATCATGCGCTTCCCGAAGCCCTCACGATGGTTTGGCTCCTCCTGTTTCATCCCTTGCTGCTCGCCTACATGCTGGATCCCCTTCCTGCTCGGTCCTGCATCCCTCCCTCTGCTCACCAGTAGCATCTCAGACCCGGCAGTTTGAGCAACCCCAAACTAATATTTACAATCCTGCAATGAGCCCAGTGGAGGCTATCCGCAAACAATCCCTTTTTCCCTGAAGGGCACATTAGGGTTTGAACTCATTTGGCTCATTCCATGCAAAGAGAGATCGAGAGGGAAGCCGAGAGGAAAGAAAACAAAGGGTGCTTTAAAAGAGAAGAGTTTATTTTTAATTGTCTTTTAACTGCAGGCATTAACATAAAGGACAGGGCTCGGGGGCTATCTGGGTTTGGTGCTGGTGGTGTGACCGTAAACGATTCCCTTAATGTAGTTTTTGATCTAGAGCCCAAATTAGCTCTAATAAAAAGGGGTAATAAAGGCAGCTCTGCTACAAACCTCAACTCCTCCTCGCTGTCAAGCCCGAGCCATTATCAAGAGGAAGCAGCACTCTCATTTCAATTAACCTTGTTTGCACCCCACTACGTCCACACAAATAACAATAACATTAATTCAAGGCAGTGGTGCGGGGCGTCCGCATTAGACAGCTTTTGACTCCGAACACGCTTTGGAGGCAGCAGCTAATGAACCCGAAACTCCACGTGAAGCTCCAAATTGCTCACAACAGAGTTTTGAAGCTCTATTAGGGAGAAAAATGCTGATTCTTTGCGAGTTCCTCAAGGGGAAAAGCTGTTGTAGCAGCAGCGGGCGGGTGCCCCAGTCTTAGCCTCTCGCTAACCTTCACTCACAAACCCATTCATTCACATTTACCGGGGTCTCTCAATCACTGGGAGGTGCTGGTGCATCAGCCCCGTCACACAGAAATCTCCTTTGCCTGAGGTAGTGGTGAATGCTCCATCTGGAGTGAGTCCAGAGGAGCCCACGAGGATGCTCAGGGACTGGAGCACCTCCTGTATGGAGATAGGCTGAGAAAGTTGGGGCTGTTCAGCCTGGAGAAGAGAAGCTGCGTGGAGACCTCAGAGCAGCTTCCAGTGTCTGAAGGGGGCTACAAGGATGCTGGAGAGGGACTCTTCATCAGGGACTGCAGTGATAGGACAAGGGGTGATGGGTTCAGACTGAACAAACAGATAAGGCAGAAGCTCTTCCCTGTGAGGGTGCTGAGGCCCTGGCACAGGGTGCCCAGAGAAGCTGTGGCTGCCCCATCCCTGGCAGTGTTCAAGGCCAGGTTGGACACAGGGGCTTGGAGCACCCTGCTCTAGTGGAAGGTGTCCCTGCCCGTGGCAGGGGTCGGAACTGGATGAAGTTAAGGTGCTTTCCAACCCAAACCATTCTGTGGTTCTATGACCACTTTGATGGATGCTGAGGGCTCTGCCCTGCATCCTCTGCAGAGCAAAATTCCACAACCACCAGCTTTCCCTCTCCTCCAGGCTCCCTTTTCCATTGCCAGAGGGACAGTTTGGATTTTGAAAGCATCTGCAAAGCTTTGTGCCCATCTGGAGCACCCTCATACACTGGAGACCATCCTCTGCTTGGAGCGAAGACGGGGAAAAGCAAGTATGGGAAAGCTGAACCCATGCAGCTTTCCCATAGAAAACAAAGGAACTTTCCCCATTTTTCATCAGTTAAACTGAGGCACAGGATCATCCCAAGGCTGGACAGGAGTTTTGTCCTCAAAGCAATAGCTAAGCCCTGCAAGACCTTGATGCTTCACCCTGTGGACTGGATACAGGGCCACATCCCCAGGGACTTCCCACTGAGGTGGGATACACAACAATAAGCTGAAGCTTCTGTGATGGGGAGGTTGTGGGGTGTCCCCCCCATAACCACAACGTTCTGAGGGTCAACTTAATGGAGCATCAACAGAACTGGGGACTCCCAAACCACAACTGACACCACATCACCATTAAACACCATAACAGTACCATTCATCACATTAAAACCCCAACTGAGACAAAACCAAGCCACCCTTCCAATCCCTCATCCCAGGAAGAGGTGGGATCTACTCCCAAAAGACAGAAGGGGGAGGGAAAGCAGGGTATTATCTCTACTGAGCAACTTCACCTGCCTTCCTCCTCCGCTGATAAATGAGGCTAACACCACCTTTGCTAGCGATCACCTGGGTTAACAGGGAGTCCAGGAGGCGAAGAGCAAAGCGGCCGCTCGCTTTGGGCAGCAGCATCCCCGCAGCCATAAATCACCCTGAAACAAGCTTGAACTCCACAGAAGAGGCTGTTTCTCTTCCAGCCTGTGCTGATGACAAGGTGGTGAGTGGAGAGACCTTTGAACCGCCCCTGGGGTGCCTCATCCTCCTTCTCTCAGGTGAAAAGAGCCATAGAATCACAGCCTGGTTGGCTCTGAACCAGGGATGGGGCAGCCACAGCTTCTCTGGGCACCCTGTGCCAGCGCCTCAGCACCCTCACAGGGAACAGCTTCTGCCTAAGAGCTCAGCTCAGTCTCCCCTCGGGCAGGTTCAAGCCATTCCCCTTGGCCTGTCCCTACAGGCCCTTGTCCCAAGCCCCTCTCCAGGTTCCCTGTAGCCCCTTTAGGCACTGGAGGTGCTTTAAGCTCTCCCTGGAGCCTTCTCCAGGCTGAACAAGAAGTCGCTGGCCCCATATTCACTCCCAAGTGGATACAGCAACAGCAAGTCCCCTTTGCAAAGCTTTCTTCTTTCCTGGCTTCTTTATTTCTGAAGTCTAACTATCTGTTATAGGAAGGGAAAAAAGCAAACCGGCCTTTTTCCCTTCTATCAATTCTCATCGCCATCCCTCCTCTGACACGCCACGAGGCAGGGAGTACAGCTGTCCCCAGCCTACCTTCTCTATTTTATATACTCGTGATTAAGTGACTCTGAAGAGAAATACATGTAAAAACCATCTGGTGCTTTGTGGCTGGTTCAGAGCAGCTCTGCTCACTGCCAGGATAACTTATGAGCTCCCTGCTGACAAGGAACGTGCCTCAGGCAAATGGAGGGAACAGAAGACAAGAGAACTGTGAACCCGAAGGCAAGTGCTGTTGGACACGGTGTTGTCCCAGACCCTGATGAGACCTCATGCCCCATGGGATAAATCCTTTACAGGCCACTAATTGCACTGTAATTACCCCATCCTTATAGTTGCAATGGACTTGCTCCATCCCTGGCAGTGTTCAAGGTCAGGCTGGACAGGGCTTGGAGCAACCTGCTTTAGTGGAAGGTGTCCCTCCCTGTGGACGGGGGTTGGAACTGGATGAGCTTTAAGGTCCCTTCCAACAAAAACCACTGTATTATTCTATTACCTCCATGATGCTGCGGATGGGGAATGGAGGACGGTGATGTCTGAGAGCGGGGAGAAGAAGGTGTCATAATGACAGTTCACAGGGCACAGGTTAAATAAAACAAAGCGTGAGTAATACAAAGCAGCACTTCCAGAACCAGGGGAGCTCCAGTCCCTGCCATGCCCCAGGCCCAGCTATGAAAGCTCTCACAAATGACACCAGAAATACAGCCAAGGGAGGCTACAGACTCCTTGAGTGTCACAATGAAGGGCTGAGACTTACAGGCTTCTCTGGGAAAACTGGTCCTTGTTTGCATCCTGCTTTCTGGCCCTGCGGAGAAGGACTTGGGGGTACTGATCAATGAGAAAATGAACATGAGCCGGCTTCAGTGTGCACTCACAGCCCAGAAAGCAACCGTATCCTGGGCTGCATCAAAAGGAGCGTGACCAGCAGGTCCAAGGAGGTGATCCTGCCCCTCTACTCTGCTCTTGTGAGACCTCACCTGGAGTATTGTGTGCAGTTCTGGTGTCCTCAACACAAAAAGGACATGGAACTGTTGGAACAAGTCCAGAGGAGGCCACGAGGATGCTCAGGGGCTGGAGCACCTCCTGTATGGAGACAGGCTGAGAAAGTTGGGGCTGTTGAGCCTGGAGAAGAGAAGCTGCATGGAGACCTCATAGCAGCCTTCCAGTGTCTGAAGGGGGCCTATAGGGATGCTGGGGATGGACTCTTCATTAGGGACTGTAGTGGTAGGACAAGGGGTAATGAGTTAAAACTTAAACAGGGGAAGTTTAGATTGGATATAAGGAAGAAATTATTTCCTGTGAGGGTGGTGAGGCACTGGAATGGGTTGCCCAGGGAGGTTGTGAATGCTCCATCCCTTACAGTGTTCAAGGCCAGGTTGGACAGAGCCTTGGGTGACATGGTTTAGTGTGAGGTGTCCCTGCCCATGGCAGGGGGGTTGGAACTGGATGATCTTGCGGTCCTTTCCAACCCAAACCATTCCATGATTCTATGATTATATCTCATCCTGACAGCAGAGCATGTAACAACAGTGACACTGGTTGGGGTCTCTATATCCCGGTGGGATTAACCTCATTGTTGCTGTCTGGGTGATCCTTTGTAGCAGAAAAATGATGCTCCACATCCATCCCACAAAGCTGAACTTAAACAGGTGCCTGAAACACATCCCAGCTCAGGACCTGCAGCTACACTTAACCTTCAGCACCAGCTTCAACACTTGAGGTCTCCAAAGCTACGTCCGACTGGAGATCCAGCTGCTGAAAGGAGCTTCAGCTGTTAAATCATCAACTGATAATCACTAAAAGCAAACATTATTTTTCCACCTTGCTCCATGTAATAAAACTGCAGACCCTCAAATACATCAAGAGGGTTGAAACCCACGATGAACTCTGAAGCTGTTTTGCCACTTGGATTCACTGCCTGGCTTCTTAGAGAGGTTAATTTATACCTCCAAGTTCTTGGATGTTAAAACATCCTCCTGTGATGCCAGCACAGGGTGGTTTAGAAGGGTGAGTGATCTCGGGGAAGGGTGATCTTATAGAGGTAGCTAAGGTTTAGACACAACTAAATGCTGTTCCTGTGCACCTTCTCTTGGATATTTGAAGTTTAAACACACCTTAAGCCAACACTCATTACCCAACACAAGTGCTCTGGTTTCCAATCTGCTGCTTAATGCATCCATGTATAACGCTCATGTATCAATGCACAGCATGCATTCATGCGTTCAACCACCATGCCAGTTGAAGAGACACTCTTTTCTCTCACAACCCCATCACAGACTCATAGAATGACTTGGGTTGGAAAGGACCATCCAGTTCCAACCCCCTGCCATGGGCAGGGACACCTTCTATTAGAGCAGGGTGCTCCAAGCCCCTGTGTCCAACCTGGCCTTGAACACTGCCAGGGATGGGGCATTCACAGCTCCCCTGGACACCCTGTGCCAGCGCCTCAGCACCCTCACAGTAAAGAACTTCTTCCTTATATCTAACCTGAACTTCCCCTGTTTCAGTTTGAACCCATCACCCCTTGTCCTGTTGCTACAGTCCCTGATGAGGAGTCCATCATGAGCCTGAACAGCCTGGCAAGCAAACTCAGTGAGGTGGACTTCCCTACAACCACCAGTGTCCGCTCGCTCATAGAGCCACACTACACTCCTTGGGAAGCCCATACAGACCTTGTCTTTGGACACCTTGTGGGAAAAGGAACAGGTCCCATCCGTCTTCTTGCAAGTGCCACGGAGAAACCTGTAGAGACACCAGAAGGAGAGGGTTGAACACGAGATGGATCACAAAACACATGGTTTTAAACACCAAGCATCTGCCTTGTCCCGTTACCAGGTGTACCCAAGGTCACAAATACAACTGCTGCCAAGGTTGCTGTTAAAGCCCATTTCATGCCCTGAAATGCTAAAGGTCCTTCTTGTTGGAAGAGCAGTTGATGCTTCCCGATAGATTTTGTTCTTTTGCTCTTCACTGTATTTGGCAGCTCCTTTGTAGAACAAGGCCCAAGGTTCAGAGTTGATGCTCTCAAAAGGAGAAAGGTCCTTCCTGGTACCCTGATGACACCAGATGCTGGATAAACCACAAGGAGGTTCTCCAAGTGTGTGTGGCCAACAACCAGGAGGAGAAGAGACAGGGACACAACCAAGATCCCAAAGGACATGAGGATGTTTGGACTCAGAAGTTCTTCTATGAGCTACCAATGTGACAGCAGAATAAAGTACACGTTATCATGGGGAGAGTGCTGGTCTGAACCCCCCAAAGGAGACTCCAGGGGTATGGGAGGTTGTGGAGCACAGAATATGCTTTATTCATAAATCTGGGTAAGTTTAAAGCTGAGCATGGAGAGATCCGTTAAAAATCAAATAGAATTGAGTTGAACAAAGTGTAAATGGGAACACATAGATGGGAAAACCAGCTTGATGGCAACAAGGTTTGCAGACTGTGATCACAGCATAGCTATGTGCACCTCCTTGAAACACCCAGGTCTGCAAGTTAAAGGACACCTTAAATTAAAAGCAGACTGAGAAAAATAAGAGATGATTGATAATGTTAAACTAAAGAAGAGGGTTGGGGCTAGAAGGCACCAGAGTAAGGAGACAAAGGACTGGGAGAAAATCAGTGTTGTTCTCTAGTGATCCACTGAAACGGGGTAGGATAGAGACTCAAAAGACCTCAAGGTCCAGGAATTCCTAAAGCATGCGAGGAGCAAAGCCCAAAAGCAGCTTTGGTCACCAACATAAGAAGGAAAAGGGATTTTGAAAGAGGGGAGATTTAGATTAGACATCAGCTCTTTACTATGAGGGTAGTGGGACACTGGCAGAGGGTTGAACAGGGAAGTTGTGGCCGTGCTATCCCTGTTTAAGGCCAGGCTGGACAGGGCTTGGAGCACCCTGCTCTACTGGAAGGTGTCCCTGCTCATGGCAGGGGTTTGGACCTGGATGAGCTTAAGGTCCTTGTCAACCCAAACCATTCTATGATTCAAAGTGAGAACTCAGTAGCTGGCATCCCTTGTCCTCTTTGTCACCAGAAGTAATCCTGACCAGACAGCTAGGACATAACCATCTCCATGCTCATGAGGATGTGCTACAAGAGAACAAGGAACCAGCTAAAAACCCAATAATCACCTTTTCCTCCTCTATGATCTCCCACCAAGCTTTGTGCAACCTCCAAATGATGCCAGCATGGAAGCACTTGCACAGAGAAATGACTCAACATGTTCATCAGTGGAGTTGGCTTTTCCTCACATTTTATATGACATAGAATGCAGTTTAATCAAGTGTTGGGCAGGAACAATGAGCTGGCACCCTGGATCAGCTCTCCTGTAATATATTATCAAGCTTTATAGCTGCACAGAGACACAGGCTGAAGGATTCAAACCTGTTGCATGGATCTGAGAAGTGCTGCTAGAAGAAATCACCTCATGTATGGTCAGTGCAGGCTCTTAAGTCACTCACACCTGCACTGCTCCAGTATCTGCATCAGGTTATTACCCAGGACTCATAAAATCATTCATGTCAGATGGTCTCTTTGAGAACTGGCTACATGGTTTAGGTTCTGCATTCCGCATGGCAAGCCCTGATGGCATACTCAACCTCAGAGCACCGAGTACATCACTAAGGTCAATTATTCTGATTAAGAATTTTTATGATTTTATTGCTAATTCTTAAAACACTACTCTGAATTTTGAATAATTTTAGAGCTTCTGGACTATGCTATGGAAGGTTACTTAAAGGTGCTGGTGATAGGACATGGAGCTGTTGGAGCAAGTCCAGAGGAGGCCACAAGGATGCTCAGGGGCTGGAGCAGCTCCTGTATGGAGCCAGACTGAGAACATTGGTGCTGTTCAGCTTGGAGAAGAGAAGCTGCGTGGAGACCTCAGAGCAGCTTCCAGTGTCTGAAGAGGCTACAAGGATGCTGGAGAGGGACTCTTCATAAGGAACTGCAGCAACAGGACAAGGGGTGATGGATTCAAACTGAATACCAGGGGAAGTTCAAGTTAGATATAAAGAAGTTCTTTACTGTGAGGGTGGTGAGGCACTGGAATGGGTTGCCCAGGGAGGCTGTGAATGCTCCATCCCTGTCAGTGTTCAAGGCCAGATTGGACAGAGCCTTGGGTGTTATGGTCTAGTGTGAGGTGTCCCTGCCCAAGGCATGGGTTGCAACTGGATGATCTTAAGGTTCTTTCCAACCACAACCATTGAATGAATGCATGAATGAATGAATGGTATCCATCTCTAAAATGTGAAATGATTTGCAGGCTGTGCAGAACAACCAAACTATGTGTATTTAACCTGGAGCCTGGTGGTGTGTTGCTTCATTGGCATTGCTGCATGTAAAATGATGGCTAAATATAGAGTAAAATTACCAGAAAAGATTGAACAGACCATCATTCTCCTATCTGGGAAGTTTGGACAGGGAAGAGAGGACTACACAGTTGTAACTGGTGCCTAGAAGGTGATCAGTCCTTCTCAATGACTGCCAGTGAGGAGGAAGCCAGCACAGTAGTTGAGCAGTGAGGAACCACTTTCCATACAGTGCATAATTCAGCTGTGCAACCCACTGCCATAAATACCATGTGTTAAAGGAAGGACAAAGTAAATTCACCCGAAAGAAGAACTATGAACTATTACATGATGATGGTTTGGTAGCAACCTCTAGCAATTGAAAGACAAACCTTAGCAAGGATGCAGAGCTTCACTGCCAGAAGCTCTAGTGCCACCAAAGAGAAAGAGCCCTTCTCTGTGTGCCTTGTCCTGTCCTCCTCCTATAGGTACCTGCCAACCCAAGTGTTGGGCAGACCCTAGGCTTGACCCAGATCAGCTATCCTCGTGGTCTTACCTCTCTGTTATCAGGTTGTTTCCACAAGGAATATCACAGATAATGGCCTCAAGCTGCACCAGGGCAGGTTTAGATGGAGCTGAGGAACAATTCCTGCCCCAGCGGGTGCTCAGGCATTGGAACAGGCTGCCCAGGGCAGGGCTGCAGTCATTAGCCCTGGAAATGTTCACACACATGGAGACAAGGCCCTCTCTGCCGTGGGTTACTGGTGGCCTTGGCAGCGCTGGGGAATGGTTGGACTGGATGAGCTTAAAGGGCTTTTCCAACCTGGTTGATTCCATGATTTGATGTTTCTATGAGCAAGCACCAAAGCCAACCAATGGCTTAGGCTACAATGATGGATCAAAGCACGGTGTTGCTGTGTCCATCCATACCTGGTGCAGACGGCCACCTTGTCTGGATCATGGATGTAGGGGCAGCTGTCTCCCCGGTTACACTTGCCGAAGCGGTTGTAGTACATACAGTATTCCTTCTTCTTTTTCTTCTGCTTGGCTTGACGGATGATGGCCAAACTCCGCTGAACAGCACGGCTGAAAAGGAAAGAAACAGGGTCAGGTAACATGTTCAACACAGCAATGTCATAGAGAAGACACTTCAACAACACAGAGGAGCCCAAGTTCACTTTGAAGAAAGAGTGAGATATTCAGGAAGTTCCTGCTGGGCCATAAGCTGTTAGGTCTTATTTTCGGCCAACTTTGCCGTGAAGCATGAGCAGCAGGTTAGGGAAGGGATTCTCCCCTCTGCTGCACCCTGGAGAGACCCCTCCTGCAGTCCTGATCCAGCTCTGGGGCAGCAGCACAAGAGGGACGTGGAGCTGTTGGAGCGAGTCCAGAGGAGGCCATGGAGATGCTGCGAGGGCTGGAGCAGCTCTGCTCTGGAGCCAGGCTGAGAGAGCTGGGCTGGGGCAGCCTGGAGAAGAGAAGGCTCCTGAAGGGGAGACCTTAGAGCAGCTCCAGTGCCTAAAGGGGCTGCAGGAAACCTGGAGAGGGGCTTGGGACAAGGGCCTGTAGGGACAGGCCAAGGGGAATGGCTTGAACCTGCCAGAGGGGAGACTGAGCTGAGCTCTTAGGCAGAAGCTCTTCCCTGTGAGGGTGCTGAGGCGCTGGCACAGGGTGCCCAGAGAAGCTGTGGCTGCCCCATCCCTGGCAGTGTTCAAGGCCAGGTTGGACACAGGGGCTTGGAGCAAGCTGCTCCAGTGGAAGGGGTCCCTGCCTGTGGCAGGGGGTTGGGTCCTTTGGAGCAGGAGGAAGGACAGCATCTCCAGAGATTCCTTCCCACCTCCATAACCATTGTTCTCTCCTATGATTCTACGAGCATGGAGAGAGCTTCCTGCAGTTCTGGGGAACACCATGAGGCAAATCCCATCTTCTCCCACGCTGGTCTCGTGCAGCACAGGATGCAAACATCATGCAACTTTGAGGGCACTTCTGCACGTGTCCTGCCAGCTGACCTGCTGCTATTCAAGTCCTTTAAGAGGCAAACAGCCTACATGACAGGCAGTGGAACACAAGGTTAATACCAAGCACCAATAGAAGTTGCTGTTAATTGCTTGGTACCACTAGAAGTTCCTGAAGGATATCAAATGTGCTTAGCACACGTTTTCCATGAGCTTCCAGCTGGAGAGGTAATTACCCAGCAGTTATAGAGAGGCATGAGACCAGGAGGAAGAGGAGAAGTGATGAGATCAGGGTGACTGCAACACCAGAGAGAGCAGATTTCATCTCTTGGAGTATATAATCAGATGGTACATGACAGTCAACTCAGGTTTGCAGAGGACACAGTGCTCTGGATGGGGCCAAATGAAGCCACTCAGGTTCTCTCTGGGTAGTTATATGCATTGGTTCCCTAGGGATTAAAGATTAATACTGATACAGAAAATTGTTGAAATATATATATATAATATGCATGTATTTCCAAAGTCTTGGCCCTCCTGGTGTGAGAAACACAGGTCAGAGGTTCAAAGTAGCATTACCCATGACAGATACTTGCTTAAGCAATGTATTTACAGGTGACTGCACATTTTTACCTCTATTATTGTTGTCTGCAGTTCTTGAGTTAAAATGCCAATGAGAAGAAGACAACTTCACACAGCCAAAATACTGAACGGGAAAGCCCTGTCTCAGCATTAGAAATGCCACCACCTCTTTTATCATAAGTGGCCTGGGCGTGACACCAAGCTCCATCACTAATTGCTTCTTGGTACTTGTGGTGGTTCCAAAGCTAAGGCAAAGAAAGCCACAATATGGTATGATACCATACTGAAGGAGGTGATCCTGCCCCTCTACTCTGCTCTCGTGAGACCCCACTTGCAGCACTGGGTGCAGTTCTGGTGTCCTCAGCATCAGAAGGACATGGAGCTGTTGGAGCAAGTCCAGAGGAGGCCACGAGGATGAGCAGGGGCTGCAGCACCTCCTGTATGGAGCCAGGCTGAGAACACTGGGGCTGTTCAGCCTGGAGAAGAGAAGCTGCGTGGGGACCTCAGAGCAGCTTCCAGTGTCTGAAGGGGGCTACAAGGATGCTGGGGAGGGACTCTTCATCAGGGACTGCAGTGATAGGACAAAGGGTGATGGGTTCAAACTGAAACAGGGGATGTTCAGGTTAGATAAAATACAGCTAGAATCTGGCATCGCGTCTGCATACGGACATCTAGAACCACCACACTTGGTCTGCTACAGTTAAGAAGGACCTGCCTGCAAATGCTTATACTCAGGGAAATGAAGATGTGTTGCATTATGAGTAGCACAACACAAGGGAGAATGAGAAAGGCAGCAGGGCTTTGAACACCAGCAGCATAACATCAGTCTTCTGTACGTGGTGATTTCCACGTGGCAAATTCACACTTTTTGGAAGGGAGAGAGAGAAGGAAAACCTCCACATTTGCTGGGTTAAATTGGGATGGACTTTAAAAAAAACCCAAATCCCCCTTGAGAACAATATGGTTGGTTTAAAAAGGGACTAAGTAGGATCTGGAATTCTTTGCTCACAGGAAGGTGTTTCTATGCACCTAGAACCTTTCAAACCCTTTCCAAGCAGAAACCATGGCTTTCTGCTGAGCTTACAACTACCTCATAGCAGAGGCTGGGGAAAAAGCAGTGACCAGAGCTCCAGTGAATAAACATCAACTGAAATAGCAGCATCTCAAGCTTCTGACACCCTCCCAAGCATAAATCACAGGCAGCATTACAAGGGGGGAGCACGCTGTTCCTCCCCACAAGTACAGACCTGGCGATGTATCGGCTCGTGGCTGATCTGTTCAGGCAGCTGGATGGAGAGAAGCCAGCACTGGGTGTACACTGCAACCGCCCTGCTGGAAACAGAGGAAAACAGAGATCATTTGGTCAGAATCAATGCATTTCATGCAGTTCGCAGTATCTTAGGTCCATAAAATGATCAGAGGGATAAGACATCTCTGCTGTGAGGAACGGCTGAGAGTTGGGGTGGTTCTGCATGGAGAAGAGAAGGCTTCAGGGAGCCCTTGCAGCCTTTCAGTACTTAAAAGGAGCTGATAAGGAAGCTGGGGACAGTCTTTTTAGTACGGTCTGGAACAACAGGATAAGGGGTCATGGTTTTAAATGAAAAGGAGGGAGATTTAGGTTGGATATAAGAAAGAAAGTCTTTACGATGAGGGTGAAGAGACACTGGAACAGGTTGCTTAGAGAGGTGGTAGGTGCCCCATCCCTTGGACAGTCGAGGTCAGGTTGGATGAGGCTGTGAGCAACCTGATCTAGTTGAACATGTCCCTGCCCATTAGAGAAGGGTTGGATTAGATGACCTTCAGAAGTCCCTTCCAACCCAAAGTATTAAATGATACTACGATCTTACGACCTTAACCCAAAGCAAGAAGCTCTCAGAGCCCGGATGGATGAGGATGCTCTTTTTGGACCACATCGCTGGCACCAACAGACCAACCACAGCAAAAAGTCTCCTTCCCAGCTCCAAACACAGCAGGAACCTTTCCCCTCAGCACCCAAACGTGCCAAACACCCCCATTCTCTGGACAACCCCCATGCTTTTGCGCTCCGCTTGGCTTGGCTGGGGAAACCCAGTTGCTGTGTCGGCTACATGGGCTCACGTCATTAAACTGTCCTTGAGCGGCACGGAAAAGAGCGAGCTGCAAACAAAGGCTGGCTCCCGGTTTTCCAGGTGGCTCAGTCACTCACCTGCCAGCCCAGGCGTGTTGGGAAGTGAAGGAGTGGAATTTGATCGAGCGGCAGCGCGCTCTCCCCACGCGCGAGCTGTCACTCGGGCTGCCGCCGGCGGCAAAGCCCCATCTGTTCCCTCTGCTACTCAAAGCAGCGGCGATGCGGGAGCGGGTGGCACACGCCTGTCGATCAGAGGCACGGAGTAAACTCTGTGTAACTCACTGGTAAGCGCGCTGAAGCTTGCGGCAAGCTCGCTCGAGCCTGATGGGAGCGTGTTGAGTGTTAACGGGGCATCTGAGGCACTGCTGAGGGGTATTTTGCATCTCTTTCTTGCAGCTTCCCCCTCGTTTCAGAGCTGCTTTGCTCCAAAGAAGTGGTAAATGATTTGGTAAAGTTGTGAATGCTCCATCCCTGGCAGTGTTCAAGGCCAGGCTGGACAGAGCCTTAGGTGACATGGTCTGGTGTGAGGTGTCGCTGCCCATGGCAGGGGGTTGGAACTGGATGACCCTAAGGTCTTTTCCAACCCAACCATTCTGTGATTCTATGATTCTATTATAAGCATCTTTTCAAGCGCTAAAATAAATACACATCAATGTTGGGTTGCTCTCAAGGTGCCACTGAGCAGCTCTTAGTGGGGATGTGGGTTGAGGCTAGCAAGGTTGGCCACCCAACTGAACCAAGGAAGCTGTGGCTGCACCATCCCCAGCAGTGTTCAAGGCCAGGTTGGACACAGGGGCTTGGAGCACCCTGCTCTAGTGGAAGGGGTCCCTGCCCATGGCAGAGTTGGAACTGGGTGAGCTTTAAGGTTCCTTCAACCCAAACCATTCTACGATGCAGGGAGAAAGACCCAAATTAAAGTCCAATCATTAGTGTAGGAACAGAGCACCCCTCTGCCCTCTGCTGTTATGCTTAACGCTCCTTAAAGCAAGCTCAGCAGGACGGGCTATACCAGGAGCTGCTCCCCAGGGCAGCAGGCAGTGTCTCTGAATATTTAATATCTCACATAAAAGCAGACTCTTGGGGACAGACATGCTCCCTGCTTGTGTGCCATCCTTTCAGTTAAAGCAGCCTGACAAGCACATCTTGGCCAGAAAGGGTAAATCACTAAAGGAGTAAATAGGTAAGTAAAGAAATAAAGGTTGCAACGACACCACACCACTGGTTTTTGGCTTATAGATAGCAAAAATACATCCACAGCATGATGTCTGGGGTGGCTTTTGCCCAGGTTTTATCTTCTGGCAAGAAGTCATGTTATTACACATGGACAAGTGATGCTCATCTCCTATTACACCTCTTGCCGTGAATTAACTCACAGCCTGGAGGCAGTTTAACCACCTAAGAGCCGGTCCCATCCACAGCAGAATCTGGGTTGGATGCATCCGTCCAGGGCTGCCCACCATGCCTGGCAAAGCATCAGGCTGGCAGCTGGCAAAGAAACCCTTCATCCACCCCCTAATTGCTCACCCTGCATGCAAATCCTCTCTGAACCAAAGAAAAGCACCTCAATATTTACTCAGGAGGAGACAACCCAGTGCATGCCTCACGCTGCTGCAGAAGAAGCTCCGTAATTAAACCTTGTGCTGCCGATTGGGATTTAGGGGGAAGTATTTTTAGAAGCTTTTGTATCGTGTACAAATCAGTTTCAATACAAGCAGGGCTCTGTGAGCACCCCAGCAGCACAGGGGAAGACGGAGGAGACGCAGTTTGATGGCCCAGATGTTTAAGGAGAACCCAAGTTTGGGTTTTTAGAGTGGGTACCAACTTGGGATGCTCACTTAAGAGCCACCACCAAGAGCTTTTCATTACTAAATGCGAAGCATCTGATATTTTGCAGGCAGTGGTGATTCAGATCATACAGTATCTATATTATCAAAGCAATCCAAAACTGGGGTGAAACTGGGGCTGAGCAATACACCAGGGAACTGGGTAAGGGTTGACTTAAAACTGAAATTGCTGCAAGTTGGAGCATATTAAACAAGAAGCCAAAATGATGCCCAAAGTGGTTGACTCTGGGAGTCTCCATTGGTCCAGACATGATTTTACTTTGCAGGACAGATGCTAGACACAGAACTGATCAGTTTTCCTCCCCAGTTACTCTCCAATTGGGGTGAGCGTCAGCGTTGGGATGCAGTGATGCTGTCAGATCAGAGAGCATCTCACGCATCCTGTATCTTCCTCTGTATCACACAAGTCCCTCACTGCAGAGATGTAAATAAGTGCCATGGCAAGTTCCTCCCCTGTGCACACTCCATGGCAGTGGGAACAACAAGGGGAGGGAAAAAAAGCAGGGAAAACTAAGAGCTGCTGGGGAGAGCATCACGAAGTGCACATTAAGGGCTTTTGAAGCGATTACACCCAGCACGGCGGCGTCAGGCTGGATATTTTATACCCTGCCTAAGGGACAGGTGGTTTTTCCTCCTCTTTTTTCCCCCTTCCTTAATGATTTAAGTCGGTTTGAAGCGCATCATCTGTAAGGAAATACACAGCCCGTGCAAACGGGCTTGTTTCTCTCAATGCATCATCCCAACCTGACGCTGGCTGCTCCGGCGGCTCGGGGTGTTCTCAAGCGCGAGCGGTGAGAAGTGATTGCTGTACCTAAACCCCAGGCGCGAGACTCGACGCGTCTCTCCGGAGGGAGCAGGAGCTGTCATGTTCATTAAATGCATGATTACAGCTATGATTAATAGCGGGGGCTGCAGCCTGATTCCTTTCTTTCTTGCTCCTCTAAGGGAATCCACAGCCAAGCGGTCCCACGGTGCTGCCCGCAGCGTGCGCCTCGCTTGAAATTACAGCTTGTAGAGAATCATGGACTCATGGAATGGTTTGGGTGGGAAAGGACCTTAAAACTCACCCAGTTCCAACCCCTGCCACTAGAGCCGGGTGCTCCAAGCCCCTGTGTCCAACCTGGCCTTGAACACTGCCAGGGATGGGGCAGCCACAGCTTCTCTGGGCACCCTGTGCCAGCGCCTCAGCACCCTCACAGGGAACAGCTTCTGCCTAAGAGCTCATCTCAGTCTCCCCTCTGGCAGGTTCAAGCCATTCCCCTTGGCCTGTCCCTATAGACCCTTGTCCCAAGCCCCTCTCCAGGTTTCCTGCAGCCCCTTTAGGCACTGGAGCTGCTCTCAGGTCTCCCCAGAGCACAGCAGAGGGGCAGGATCCCCTCCCTGAGCTGCTGCTCCTGCTCTGGGAGTGCAGCCCAGCACATGGGGGGGGTTCTGGGCTCAAGTGCACACTGAAGTTGGGTCACTGGGAGCTTCCACCAATGAACACCTCCAAATCCTTCTCCTCAGGGCTGCTCTGAATCACTTCTCCATCCAACCTGTGCCTGGGATTGCCTTTTGATGGAAAAGGGAAAAGAGGCAGAATTTATCCCTGTCAAAGGCTCCACAACCATTAAAATGCTTAAAACTAACAGCCATATGTTGATAGGGACCCTTTCCTGTCCACCCATAGCCACAAAGCACAGCTCAAGGCTCTAAAGGGTCCATCTAATGCATCCTGGTCCTTCTCCTCCTGGGAAAGGTTGGCAAGGATTTGCCTTGGAAGCCTGGAAACCATGCTCTGGAGCAACATTTGAAGCTTTCCAATGTGTCCATGCAGGGATTGGGATGCTTCCATCCAGCTCCAACACCCCTGCTCAGCCCCACTTTGCCCAAGGGCTTGTGCTGCAACAAAAAACCTACCAAAAAGGATATTTGAACTTTTCCTCTGCATTAAAACCAGGCTGTAAATACTGCACAGAGGGAACATGGTTAATTATTACCTGCTTAATTATTTAGGAAGAACTTTATTGCTCCTAGGGCACAGCTCAAAGACCAGGGGTTCATCATGTGGAAAGCTCTGTTTGCGCATCTTATCCAGTAATTTATATTTCATATGGTAGAAAAGCTGTAGAAAACTGAAATAGCCTAAAAAAGGGGAGAAGTTGCAGATATGGGGTGAGGATCACGGAATCATGGAATGGTTTGTGTTGGAAGGGACCTTAAAGCTCATCCAGCTCCAACCCCTGCCACAGGCAGGGACTCCTTCCACTAGAGCAGGGTGCTCCAAGCCCCTCTGTCCAACCTGGCCTTGAACACTGCCAGGGATGGGGCAGCCACAGCTTCTCTGGGCACCCTGTGCCAGCGCCTCAGCACCCTCAAAGGGAAGAGCTTCTGCCTAAGAG